TGAATGGCGATTCTCAATAAGTATTTTATACCCAAATCTCTTGTCCCTTCTCCCACAGAGACTGTACAAGTTTTCTATTGCTGCTGTAACCAATTGCTACACATTTAGTGGCTTAAAACAATATATATTTCCTCCTTAATTTAATAGGCCAGAAATCTGACACAAGTATTACGAGGGTAAGATCAAGGCGCCAAGATGGGTTTCATTCCTTCTTGTAGGCTCTTAGGGGAGAATCTGTTCCCTCACTTTCAGAGGCCACCTACATTCTTTGGATCATAGTTCCTTCCTCTATCTTTAAAGCCAGCAACATTGCATTCCTCTGATGGTTCTTCAGTTGTCAAATCTCCCTCTTGTTCTGAGCTCAGCAAGGAAGGATTCTTTGATTTTAAAGACCCAGACTTTGGGCCCACCCAGAAAATCTAGGATAATCTCCCATCTCAAGGTCCTTAACTCAGTCACATCTGCAAAGTCCCTTTTGCCATGTAAGGTAGCATACTCACAGGTGCCACAGATTAAGTGTGGACAAATTTTTTTTGGGGGGGTACTATTCCGCTGACCACAGAGCCCAACGACATCCCACTTGTTTTAGCCTTCACATTTTTATCTTTAAAGTTATGTGAGAGATTAATGGGCTTCTAAACTATCTTTGAGACCTTGCAAACCAAAGACTCAGGAACTTGTGAATCTCCCAAAATTGTACAAAAGGTTTCATTTGCTTGTGCATATGTACTTTTCTCTGAAAGTGGATTGGCATCAGTAAACTTTCTCCCCATATTATCTGAGTGTAAGAACCCCTGCTGTAAACCCATTTGCATCATTGGTAAATGATTCACATGCTATTTCCTAATCATTAAGGGACAGCAAGTCATCTTTACATGAGGAATTCAGCTTCAAAGACACTCTATAAATGTGCATAAAGGCTGCATTAGAAGACAGGCACTTACCCAGCTGCCATTATGTCTTTCTAGCCAACATCTTTTGGCTGCTTCCAGGGATCCAGGAGTTAGCATTTTACTAGATTGTTTAACCTTGATGTTTTGAACAGCCCTATGAGATATTCACCTCAATTATCCCAAATTTACAGAAGAAGAAATTGAGACATAAAAGCTTATGCTATTTTCCTAAGGTTACATAACTGGGGTTTTTACAGATAGTCTGACTCCAGAGCCCACATTCAACATGACTCTACTGTTTCCAGAACTTACTTGATTCCAGGCATCTATTAGAATTGTGTTATAAACAAAAATAAACAACATATATTTATATTCTAGCTTTACTAATGCCTGCTTCATTAAAATCTTCATAACAGGTCTCTGGAGATTTGTGTTTTTAAGAGCTATCCTAAGCAGAGTTGAAATCAAGTCAGATCTCACTGGTGTGGTTATACCATTTATAAAGATATTGAAATAATTCCATCATGTTTGGCAAATGGCCTTTTTCCAAGCCCCTGAGTCTCCCTCCTCACCTAACTACCCTCCTTCCCTGGTCCCCCTAACTTTCTCAGGGCCTGGGAAGTAACAGGTAAATACCTGCTTTAGCAGGACACCTCCAGACCCAACTCCATGATGCTAGTAGCACCTGCCAGTACCCCACTGTGACCACCAGTATCCAACCAGGTGAGTCTGATGATGAGGCAAGTTTAGGAAACCACACGGAAGTTCAAGGAAAGGATTCAAATGTGTGTGACTTTTGAAGGCAGAATAAAATAGGCCCAGGTTCACAGTTCAGCTTCACTCTTAACTTAAGCACCTTGGGTGTGGCCCTTTATGATTCTGAGATTGATTTTTCATCTGTGAAAACTAAGGCAACAAGATGTTAAGGCTATCCTGAGCACTGGATGAACTAATTATGTGAAAGCACTACATTTCAGTTTAAAACACTCTACAATTATAAAGAGCTTTTATTTTTACTCTTAAAGAGGAAACTCAAAGAAATATTTATCTAATGAGATAAAAGAAGAAACCCAGCTGTATTTTAAAGACCACTGTAAACGACCAAACTTCCTCTATGGCAAACAATGGACTCCAGAATTCCTGGATCCTTGAGCTGAATGCACTCTTGCTATGGAAATTAACCAGCTGTTCTTCCTTGCCCAATGGAAGAAGTCTTGTATGTCATCTAGACTTTGAGGACTTTGAGCCTACGGGCCCCTACCTTTGGTGCGCTGCGTATTTCCCGGAAGAAAATAGATGATCAGAAATGTTTGTTGAAGACGTTTCTACTGAATCACTGTATTTCCAATGAATAACCCAATGGCTTGCACATGTGTACTTTCATACATTTACGTTTACTCTCACACTCCGATCTTTGTCAGGTCTCACACTGACACTGTGAAGTGGCAGGGACAGTAATATTAAATTAGCATTTTCTCACAAAGAAGCGTCATACTGAATGTATTTATGCCAGGAGGCAGGCATCATGCTGCTAGTGACTTGAGGATGAAAATCACGGATGGAAGGATGAATGGATGGATGTGTACCTACCTGCCTACACATACATATGTATATATGTGTGAAGATGCTTGTGCACACATGCGCATGTGTGCGTGTCTCTGTCCATCTCTGTCTACTTATCAGACAATCAGTATTAAATAGTTACTCTTCTAAAATCACAAGCAAATGGCATGACTAGACTCCCACCCAACTGCAAACTGTTCTGATTTTTCAGTTTAGTGCTCTTGCGTCATGCCATAATTGCACTGGAAAATGCTAAGGTTGTAGTAATATGTGATACATAATCACAAAAATGTGGCTCCTTGGGTGTTATAACCCAGTGCAGGTACTACAGCCTGAGGGAGAAATTCTAAAATGGTGGACACGGGTAAAACGCAGGCGGCTTCACTGGGGAGGCAAAAGAGCTCTTCTCCCAAGGGGCTAACAGTGAGAGCCATCTTTCCCACATCATTGACTCAAAAGACCATAGTGAAACTATAATGATCGGTCATGTCGGGGAATACTACTGTTTGGGGAGTGCTTGATCCATGAGCTGTTGGCACAGTGTGCCATGAGGAACCATTAAGGTACAGCTCGCCACTGTGCACAACACTTGGGGAACCATAGCTCCCAGAAGGATGGCTTCTACCTGCAAGCTCTGTGGGCTCTGCTCCTGAGACAAAGTTCAAGTTTAAGTAGAAGAGGTTTTTCATACAAGATGTTACACTGTGTGTGTGTGTGTGTGTGTGTGTGTGTGTGAGAGAGAGAGAAGAAAATAGAGGAAACTAACAGAATTCTATTAAAATAATTAGAAAATCTAAAAATACCCACCCTGACCTATATCATTATCAGGTCAATCAGTCCATAGGTGATCATTAAACCTCTAGGATGAATGAGATATGAAGTGATATATGGAAAGGATATCATCCTTGGTGTATGGACTGAATGGTTTTGTGCTCCCCAAAATTCATGTTAAAATCCTAACCCCCAATGTGATGGTATTAGAAGGTGGTCAGGTCACGAGGGTGGAGCCCTCATGAGTGGGACCAGTGTCCTTATACAAGGGACCCCAGAGCTCGCTCTGACTTCCTGCTCTTTCCACAACTCGAAATATCAGGAGTCTGCAACATGGAAGAGAGACCTCACCAGAACCTGACCATCCAGACATCTTCATCTCAGATTACCAGCTCCCAGAACTGTGAAAAATTAATTTCTGTTGTTTATAAGCCACCGAGTCTGTGGGACTTTGTTATGACAGCCTGAACTGACTAAGACACTTGGTCTTCACTCATCTATGTGTATTCCTGTGAAGTTAAACACAGGTTTCCTGGGAGGCTGCAGTGGAAATAATACAGCATCTGGTAGTCCCTGCTTTGCACCCCGTTCCACAAACTCCTCACCCTATAATCTTGGGTTGAGAATTTTAGCTTAATTTTTCCATCCTCAAAAAAAAATAAGAAGAAAAAAAAAGATGATTTACTAAATTGAATTAGGTTGACCTATAGAGTTTAGGTATTCAAAACCAGAAACTCTTTCTTCTGTTTTCTACTTAGAATTCATAGAAACACATTTCAAAGAGTTGCTGTGCTCTGTTACTTTACTTCCCAAACCTGACCTTCTTCATTCAGGTTTTCATCATCAACATTTCATGGAAATAGCCTTTGCAACATCAGTGGTGATTTCCATGTTGCCGTCCTTAATGATTGAGGCTCCCTTTTCGTTTAAGTTGACCCGCCAACTGGTTTTCACACAGTTGATCACTCTACTCCTCAGGGCACTTTAAGCACTCGATTGCCCAGACAGCACACTTCCCCGGCTGGCTGTCCGTCTCACTGGACATTCTCTCTCAGTCTCTTTTCCTGTATCCCCTCCTCCTTCCTGACCTCTAGATGGAGGAGACCCTCAGAGCTCAGCCCTTGGACCTCGTCTTCTCTCTCGTGACATTCTGTCCATATATAATCCTTCACCACATGTCACTAAGTAACATAGATGCACATATGATGGTCAATGTTTCTCTGCAGTTTACTACTTTCCCGTATTTCCATCTCTGCAAGTGGTGATCTTTCATCCAGGCATTTTAAACAGCAAGCTAAGAACTATCCTTGGTTCCTATATCTACACCCCATGTACAATCTACCAATGAGGCCTTCCACTTATGCCTTTAAAATTTCGGTCAAAAACCAAACAAACAAACAGACAAGAAAACTACTTGTCACGACCGTCGCTGCTACCCTGGCCCAAGCTGTTATCTATCATCTCTCACCTACATCAATATTGTAGTCTCTGAATTGGGTGCTTACTGGCAATTTCCCCCACTACAGCCAAGTTCCAGAGCATTCTTTAAAATTATTATATATATCATTTCATGTCATTTTCTCGTTCACAACATATACCATTGGAATAAAAGTCAAAACCCATAAAATATGTCACAAAGTCTTACATGAGCCTACACAACTTTGTCCCTGCCTGCCTCTCCCTTCTCACTTGCTCCTAATCCACCTCTTAGTCACGGCCATCGTGTTTTGATTCAAAAATGTGAAGCCGCTTCTTACCCTGGGCCTTCTTGCTTGTTCTTCCTTCTGCTCACAATATTCCTTCACGAAGCTCGCTTTCTCAGGTCACAGTTTCCCAGGGAGATCTCAGGACCTCAGAGAAGCATGTTCTGAGCACCCTAACTGCCACCCTCTGTTTACCATCATCGCGCTTCAAGCCACTGTGCTTTATTATTCATTGCAGTCATCGCAATCTGAAATGATATTGTTTATTGCTTTGATGTAATAGTTTATAATAGTGTGTTACTTCTACCCACAACTCCCACAATAATGTAATCTCCAAGAGGACAGTCTTTTGTTTGTTTTGTTTTACATTCTGTCCTACATGTTTAGGAGAGTTTGGATTATAAGAAGGGATATATCTAATATATATATATTCCTTACAGATTATACCCTTTATGTCCCTCGTGTGTGTGTGTGTGTGTGTGTGTGTAATAGATTTAGTTTGTATTCATATCCCTATTCAATGAATAAATGACCAGCCCCCAGACACTGAGTGTGTAGGTGTGAACAGGCTGAGCCACATCCATGGTGCATTGCTTTGCCTGACCACTCTGGTCATTGGAACGGCTCCAGGATGTCAATCAAGAATTCTCTGGGCTGCCGCTAACAAGGGGCAGGCCTCTATCCCACAACATGACCTTTGGAATCGGGTCCCAGTGGGCCTTCCTGAAATAACACAGATCCAGGGCAGTGAAAACAGCCTGCAGAAACAGCGTTTATAACTCTCTTTACAACCAAAGTCTATCATAGGGAATGCCGAGCAAACACATATGAATAAAAATGAATCCTCAGATTTATCTGCTGAGACGGTAACAACCTAATAAGGTTTCCTGGCAAAAGCAGGGCAGGCAAGAGGATAAAAGCACCTTCAATTTCTCCTGTTCAGTCCACATAGAAAGGCAATTCCTCTTTGTTTCCAGCGAGGGCCTGCTCTGATCACACATAAGTGGTTCTAACTACCTTTGATTGGAGGAAGAGGGGAAGGCACCATGTTTTTGCATGGCTAAATTCTCCATGGCACGTAGTGCAAACCGGCCCGCCTGGTTTCCAGGCGTTACCTCCCTCTACTCCCACTATTGAGACTGATGTACCATCACCAGGAGGCTTAGCCATCACAATCTTGAAAGACTCTGTGTGTGTGTGTGTGTGTGTGTGTGTGTGTGCACGCATGCGCACACGCACACACGTGTGTATATGTACACATATCTTTCCTCAGGCAAGAAATTAAAAAAAAACAAAAACCCTCTAGTTACTTCAGTTGTCAACCCATTTTCTGCTACATGAGCCTTACCTACATGCCCTAGTTCTAATAACTAGACTCTACTCTCCCTCTCTGCGCTTGAGTCCCGAATCCCCAGTGCCCTCACAATACCTGTAGTACCTTACCCTCAGAATTCCCACCCCAGACATGGTTTGTGTATTCCTAACTGTTGTCTTGACTCGCCTTGTGCCATTCACCCTTAATAGCCAAGAGGACCTAGAAGCTGTGTCCCTGAGCCTGGCCGGCTTCACAATCCAGCGTGCCTCAATTCATCAAGAGAGTACCAGGCCTTGAGCGCGATGTCCCAAGGTCTAGCATGGAAATAGTCATTCCAAGCCATGGGTTATTCCAGAACACAACAAAAGTTGTGGGTCATGAAGAGCTAAGGAGACTACAGTGACGGCACAGATGGAGAAGATGGTATCTGGAAGGGTAGTTTGGGGTAAAACAGAAAAAGCGGAGTAAAATTCCACAGGCTCTGGGGCACACCCCTGAGCCTGTTGGAATTTGGGAAGGGGCAGTGGGTACTAGAGCCATAATGGAGACAGGAGATAGGGAGGCAACAAATGGGTGAAGAATGAATGAAAATGAGTGGATGAGAGCTCATTCACCAAATCTCACGCGTTTCCTATGGCCTATATGCCGAGGACCATGCTGAGCTCCAGGAATATAACAGCCCCAGCCATCACGAGAACAGAGTTGAGTTGAGGTGGTGACTATTAAGAAAACTGGCGATCTGTAATACTATTATTTCCAGAAAGAGTTTTATTATGCACGATGCTCCTTAGGATGTCGACCCAGTATAATAGACTGAGCTGACATGAGAATTCTCTTTCTCCAAGCTAGAATGCTGGATGAAACCTAACCAAAATTGATTATTTTTTTATACATAAAGTGATCGTAATCCAATAAAGGGATGAAGAGCAAACATTGGTCAGGAGATGACAAAACTACAGTCTGTATGGGGGAATCGAGACCACATATGAAATTCCATGCCTGGGGGACAGACCTTCAACCTCAGGAATGGTCAGGAATCCCTGTGAACACAGACCTATCTTCTACCCAAAGCATAAATGTCCAGTCTTTATGGGTAACAGGGAGCAAAAACTACCTACTACCTGAAAGAAGCATCCAGAAGAAAAGCAGGCACGCCTGCCTGATATGACCAGATCTCAGCCCTTCCTGGTCAAAAGCATATGGTCTGTATGTTCAATACAGTCATATTTTAAAACTGCCCTAGGATCAACAAAATCCATACTTTCCCAACTCTCTGAAGCAGATATGGACACAACCCTGTCTAAATGGGTGCTCCACACCTGGGAACCCAGATAATTCTCCAACAGACCTAACATCCACGAGTCAAGGCTGATAGACCACAGAGGACAGCAGCCACCAGGAGGGACAGTTAGCAGGAGCAGCACACAGGAAGTACTAGAGACCATGTATCTACATCGTCAGTAAATATTTGTTAAGCACCTGTTACAAACAAAGCAGTCTTTGGGGCATGAGGATACCTCAGCAAATAAAAGAGGCAAAAACGCTTGCCTTCATGAAATGTATAGTGCAGTAAGAAAGACACTTGAACATAGGCATCCAAGTAAGAACTTACACATAATTATCTGTAAATTCCGTGCTTCTTTCAAAAAGCCCAGGGAGCCTCCTTGGACTCAGAAATTCAGAGATGCTCTGGTTCTTCTGCGTCTTATACTCAATTATTCAGGTGAAATAGTTATAACACAGTAACAGACGCCATTCAGTCACAGCTCAGTTTTGAGGCCGCCCGGGCACATGGTTTGGGTTTGGCTGTGCTCTCTGCTTCCATCATTGAACGTCCATCTCTTATACTTGGGACGGAAGTCTTCACAGGACTGACAGTACAAGCCGTACAGTCAGCCAACCTGGGTTCGAACCCCATCTCTCTGCTCATGAGCTCAAGGGTCTTGGGAAGTTTGCCTAAACCCGCTGTCCTGTTTCCACAGTTTTAAATAGTGGCTATTACTAGAATGTAACTCATGGAGAAGTTATGATTTATCTATGTAAATAAAGCACTTAGCAGCAGGTCTTGGCATGCAGTAAGTGCTGAATAATTATTAACCATTGCTATACCATTTTGATGACAGATAAAATGTATCTGCGATAAGATTGATGCTGCTTGATGTTTTTGTTCAAAGGATTATTTTCAAATTCTGGGAGGCACCCCCATTCAAGGTCTTACATTTTTACAAGTCTAGTGCAATGCTGTCCCTCCCTTTTCCCAGACAGATGGCTTTAGAAAAGGAGGGATGCATTCGTGAAAGTGATGAGGGATAGCAAGGATTATTCCAGAACTGGTGTAGGTAAAAGGTGCTCAATAAATTTGGACCAAGTTAACTGCAGCAGAGAAGAAAATTGTCCAGACACGCGATTTGGAGTGATTTAGGGATAAAGCTCCTCTGAAATGTACATCCATTCTGTCCTCTAATACCTCCCCGAGGTTGATTAACTCACTAAGCTGGGTTTTATGAGAAAGCCCCTGCGATATCTGTAGGCGAAGTCATGCCGAAAATGACAGAGTGTGGCATTAAGGGCAGTGAATCTCACCTTGTGGCTGTTTGATGTCAGTAGAATTTGATATGCTAAGATGTGTTACTAGTGCCCAGTAAAGTCATTAGAGGCAAGTGTGTGTGCCTTTTCTATGGGGACAAAGATGGCACTGATGACAATGTGATGACAATCATGATGGTGGTGGTGGTGACAATACTGCTGACAATGGAAATGGCTATTTCCAATGGAGGGGTTGAGCCTGTGGGAATTACTATATATGCATACTCTAGTTTTATTTACGCACTGTTTTGAAATATAACTAACAGTATCTTCATTTTGTAAATCTAGAATGTAAGGTTCAGAGAGATTAAGTCACATTATTAACAGTGGCAAAATCAAGATTCACTTAGTTTGATTCTAACATTTCTACCTGGAATCCGTGGCAAAATAATCAAGTCACAGAAGTCTGTAAATAGATTTTCTTCATGTTACTCTTCTTCAGTCAGAAAGTGATATTAAACACAAGGAAAACATATTCAACCATATTTATAAATATAAAAAACAGGCTGCAATAATCAGGTGCTTCGACTTGACAAATTGCTCTTGTATTCTGATATTTCCTTGGTGTCCTGTTTATCTCTCCTGCATGCTTGGTCTCACAAACACTTTCCACAATGCTCACACGTCCCTAGTAAAACAATTCAGCGCTTGCATTATGGGTTCTCCATAAATTAGTTTGACAGTTAGTAAGACTCGTGTTAGGAGAAAGACAAATCCCTGCTTCCAAACTGTGATGGGCATTTATTTGGACATTTAACAGTAATACTTCAGCATCTGGAGCACACGCCCTGATTACCGTTTGCAATTGTTTAGCCAGCTGTCTCCTTCTATTGCCACTGGGTGTTATCTAGACACATATCTTAATCGTTCCTGAGTTTTGTGGAAAGACTCCAAGAGTAATAAGCACGGAGCCCACCATTCCTGCCTGGGTGCTATCAGACAAGATGTAGAGTCCTTGAATGTCAGGTAAATAAGCATAAGTGATCATTTACTCCCACTATCTGCTTTTATAAATGAATAAACCATAGCGCAGAGGGAGGATGTCATCCGTTTAAGGTCACAGGATTAGTCGGGATAAAGCAGGTTAATTTGCAGCAACAAGCAATCTCACCTTTCAGTGCATTAAAAAAAAAAAAAACACCTTATTTCCCTCTTACACTGCATGACCCAAATACCAGTCCATCGGGTTTACCTTACCCCACATGGATTTACACTGCCATCCAGGAGGACTCGCACCATTCAAATTGTACACAGTGTCTTAACGTTTCTTCCACAAAGTGAGGCTCATCACTTCTGCTTCATTCTGTTGGCTAAAATAAATCACACGTTTAACTTCAAAGGGACAAGGGGAATGTAACCCTACAATGCAGTCATAAGAATGAAGTCATGTATATTTTTGAGTTGCAATAAACAATATAATCCACATTAACTATAATCATAATCACAGATGTGACACTAGCGTAGGAATCCATGGAAAGCCTGATTGCAACCAAGTTTCAATCAGGGGAGATACCCTGGCAGACCTAGAAGGGCAGGGACAGGTGATACTTGGAGTCAGAAGAAAAGGTGACACGCTCTCCCAATAATTTCTCCATTTGGGGCTAAGTACCTTGTGGATAGTCTAGTACACCTGGATAGTTCAGGAAGCAGGCGTCCAGTTCTGACCCAGGACACGGACAAAACTGTGCTGGAAGGAGGCAGCATCTGAGAGCTTCCAACCGCACGTTCTCAGGAGATGCTCTCTAAGGAGCGTGAGAACAGCGAGAAGCGATGAGAATTTCTTGTGTTCAACCATGGTGAGTCCATGTGCCCAGGCACCATAGAAGACATATGCACTAAACTATTTTATGTCATTCTCACAAAAATCAGGCACCATAACCATTATTGGTTCATGTTACAAATGAGGAACAAAACCTGTGCCACTCAGAGTCCCAACAGAGAACTGATGGCACATGGCAGCAGTGTCAGAGGCACTGACCTGGGGACCAGCCACTATGGGCACCCACTGCTACCCCTAGAGCTAGGGTCAGAGAGAGGGACAGTTTCTGGACAGAGCTTAAGTGTCACCTCCTCTGGTCAGCCTTTTATGACACCCTCCCCTAAGCAGCAGTAAGTGTCCCATCTCTGCCACCACGATCTTGGGAGCATATCTCATCAGGACACTCATCAATCACACCATGTCACCACAACCTTCCCCACAGTCCTTTCCACGGGACTGTAGGTGAGGACAGAGGGCAGGGACCATGACTATCTTTTTCACCATTAAAACAACAGCACACTGAAGTGCCTGTCGTACATGAGGCACTTGATCAAAATATGTTGACTAAAAATTCACCGACAGTAACCCCGCCCTCCCTTCCACACATATACAGAATAATAGCATTTCAGCAGAATTCGTCCAATTCTGCTTGGCAGGTCCAATGGAAATAAAGGAACAATGTAATCACCTAGTCTTTTCAGCTTCATTAAGTCGAGAATTGGAGGCAAAACTGAGAAGCCAGACAGCACTTGGGATTTGATACATGTCTTTTAAAGGACGTAAAAAGAACAATTATGAAGACAGGGTTCCACAGTTAACATGACTCTTAATTGAATCAGTCTGGAAAGAGGAACCTGAATTAGATTTAAAGGGAAAGTTTAAGGGATTCTTCATAATTAGGTAAGTTAATTCAAAACATTCACAGTCTAATAGTTCCATCCACTCCTAGAGCTGGGTTGAGAGGAAAGAGAAGAAATTAGTAGGAAGTACCTCTATAAAACTCATGCCGCTCCTTTCCCCAGTGGGCTAGGATCTGGAGTGGCGGAGAAGTGGGGTGGTGGCAGGCAGGAAGATGGTGACTGAACCGAAAATTGGGAAATGCAAAATCAAAGGCGAATTAACAGAGGCTCCACTTCCAAAGACAAAATCTATCAAAACATCTAAACCCATGCTAGCAAACCTAAATAAAGCCAGAAAGAAATGAAGAAGCAAGTTCAATGATCTGCCCTGGGTACAACGAACACAGAATATTTTTTACGTACATCTAGAGGCTGCTGGCAGGAACTTGCTAGGGTCGGTTCATGGGTGCCAGGGCATTAGGCAAAGTGAAGATACAAGGCATTCATGAAGTAAAGTGGATAAGGTGATGTTTCTCAGGAACCATCTTACCCATTGCTATGTTTGCACAAGTACACAAAAAATGATTGAGTGCCTGCTGTGTGCAGACCTTTGTTAGATGCTGGAAAACTTAGTAATTAATATGACCCCTTTAACCTATTGTACACATTTTTATTATCTGCCCCAAAGTTTGTTGAAATGAAGTAGGGTGTAACTAATTTAATAAGGGACTGTGCATCTATAGAGATGTCAGAAACAGCCCCTGCACTATAGACGTGTACAGTCACGTAGACATATTACACCTGACATCAGGATGTAAAGTCTACAGGCAGAGATACCATGAGACTTCTAAGGGAAGTCAGGGTGGTAAAGAGATGAATTCTAATCCAAGGTTGGAGGATGTGACTGAGTGATCCCTTTTCAGCCAGACTGTGAGGTTAAACAGCATTTCAATAGGAAGCCCAGCAAAGGAAAGGGACCTCTCAGTAGAGAACCAGGCACAAAAACTGGCTAGATAGCAGCTGCACTACGTGAGAGCTGCACTTTTGTCAGAGCAGAGATTATATGTGGTTCTCTTACTACAGCTGCTGCACACAATTGTCTCTGCTATGGCAATTCTCTGCAAAACGCCTTCACACAGTTTATCTTACATCATCCTCTTCACAGTCCTGTGAGATGGGTAGACAAAGGGATTTTATTCTCGTTTTTCATTCTCAACATTTGAGAAGTTGAGACTTAAGCCAGTGAGCCCAAAATGGCTGAGCCAAAGCTATTGGGTCTTCGGGAAAGTCATGACGCATTTTTGCATTGAAAAACATAGAAAAATATGTCATGACTTTCCCGACGACGCAATAGCTTTCCACCCACAAACCTGATGCTTTTGCCATTCTACAAACTGGCAGAAAAGGGGTAATAATGAAAGAGAAGGTCATTCGAGTAATTAGAGTGCACCGTGTAACATCTGTGTGTTTCTGTAAAGTGTCTAGAATGTCGTGTGTAGGCACTTCATCATGATTTCAGTATTATTTTAACATTTGGAACAGGGGCTATCAATGTCAATTCCGTTGCAAGTCTGCTTTGGCAAAGATGATATCCTTTAGACGAGACATGCTTTTTATCCCAATGTTTATTGGTAACCCAGCAATCTCTAGAGGAATTCAAACCACTCTGCACCCCGTTGTTTTTTCATCTGCCCCACAGAAGGAAGCCCTGAGAAATGTTGTGGCAGGTAGCCTCCCAAATGGCCCTGAATCTGTCCCTGTGTTCATGACCTTGTGTGACACCCAACCCCCTGGACTATGGGTTGGAATCACCAACTCACTTGTAACAAATAGAACGCAGGCGAACTCCCAGGATGACACTTACGATGAGATTGTAGACTGTGGCTTCCAGAATAGGTCCTTTCTTTGCTCTTTAAGCTCCCTTTCTCTGGGGAAAGCCAGCTGCCATGCTGTGTGACAGTCCTGTGGACAGACCCATTCTGAGAGGGTTCAGGGCCTGCATATGGCCACGTAAGTGAGCCTGAAGTGGACATGTTCCTCTCAATCAAGATGCCACATGAGAGCACAGCTCTGCTCGGCAGCTTGACTGCAGCTTCCTGAGAGACTCGGAGCCGGGGTCCCTGAATTAAGTTACGCCAAGCCCGACCCGTGTTAAATGTGAGACCGTCAATACATGTTGTTGGAAGCCAATAAGTTTTGGGGAAATTTGTTACATGGCAATAGAGAACTAATATAAGTTTGAAGACTGAAAGGAATCTTTAAGAATATATAAGTGGACCATCCTAACATGCTAGGGTTTTTAACAGTCTGTGGGTTTTGTTGGCTTTTTTTTCTGAAAAGGAACATAGTGCCATAGACGCGAGGAGATTCATGAGGGTTAAAGCAGGACTCAGAGATGGTCATTCCCAAAAGGCTGCGTGGATGGTTCTGGACCACGCCCCAGACCAAAATCCACAGGGTTAGTGGGCATACCATACCTTTGGGATGGTGAGAGCTAGGTTCAGTCCTCGCGTCATCATATACTGGTCATATGATATAAACTGTGCTCCTTAAGTACCCCGAGCCTCATTCCACAAATTTACCAATGGGAAGAATTCTATTACCTGCTCAGTTACTGGCAGGATTAAGGTGATGGAGATAAAAGGCAGGCATTTGGCACATAGTGGGTGCTCAAGCAAACTCCATTTTCCCCCTGGCTCGTTGAGACGGGCCTCAGACAAGGCTACATGTGTGTGATGGTTCATTCTATGTGTCTGCTTGATGGGGCTCAATGATGCCAGGATGCCCAGTAAGCTATTGTTGGGCATGTCTGTGATGGTGTTTTCAGTGGATATTAGCATTTGAGTTGGTGAACTGAGTAAAGCAGATGGTCCCCCGCCCCCAATGTGGGTGGGCGTCACTGAGGATCACGATCAAACAGGAAGGCAGAGCAGGGACGGACCCACTCTCTCTGCTTGACCTGAGCCGGCCATCTTCTCCTGCCCTCGGACAGTGGCATTCCTGGTGCTCAGGGTTACGGACTCAGATGGGGACTTAAACCATCAGGCGGCCCCTGATTCTCAGACTTTAAGACTTGGACTGAATTATGCCACCAGCTTTCCTGCTTCTCTAGCTTGCAGATGGCAGAGAGCGGGACTTCCAGGCCTCCATAACCATGCGAGCCGGTTTCTATAATCAATAAATCTCCTCTTATATATGTGTGTATCTATCTCTCTACATATAGCTATATATCTCTATATCTATCATCTATCTATGTATCATTTATCGAGATCCTATTGGTTCTGTTTCTCTGGCGAACCCTTACGAATACACTATATTCATACACACAAGGACAGCACCACTAGAGCGAAACGCCTGGAGGAATACAAGGTCACTGATTTCTCCCTCAAGGACTCAAAGAAAGCTATCACCCGGTATTTTTCTCTTTTAGGATAGAGCAATTGAAAAAAATAAGATTGAGCCAAGAATGGCCACCTAAACCTGTTAATCCTCAGAAAGAATGTTATTACTGATGATAAGAAAGCAACAATTTTCAGCTGAGTGATGCTGAGAGAGGTGCAAAATTTTTATTACACACATACACACACACACACACACACACATACATATACACATATACATATACATACACATAAAGAGGATGCCAAAAATGTATACACATTTTAGGAAAGGGAAAAACTGCATTAATTGTAATACTCAATATATACCAATAACAAACATGTCACGTTTGACTTCTGCAATTACAAGAGGTGCTCAAAGTGGTTCCCATCAGCGTCCAGACACTTCTGATTATGGCGAACTACTGCTTGAGCATAGATAACAGCTCTTAAAATGTGTATACATTTCTTTGACACCCCTGGTATATATATATATATATATATATATATATATATATATATATATATATATATATACACATATGTTTATCTGTATACACATATATATGTATACACACACATATGACCTTGAAACCAAACTAGAAAGTGAATGTGTTGCATCACTTAAGAATGTGTGTTTTTTTGCTTTAAATACCCAGAGGCCACCTGCCTCGTAAGCTGTCTGCATGCATTTATCACCCAGGAACCAGGGTACCAACAAGTTCAAACAGACATTGTGGAATTATAGTCAAACACAGACATGTGTCACCTGACAGTGCCTGAACCACGTTGCACCCTGCGCCCAGAGACAAAGCTCTTTGTCCTTGCATCTCACAATTGGCAGCCCCATCCTTCTCCTCTGCTCTCAGGGACCCTTCCTGCCAGTACACTCTTCTATATTGTCTGTACCTCTTTACTGCTATTTCCTCCTCGCTGTAGCGAAGTCTACTCTGGTGCCATGTGGCCTCTGGTTTTCCTCCACTTGGGGGCATGCAAGTAACAATAAGTGACTATTGAGAACCAAAGATGCCAGCCTGGCTGGAGAGGGCAGGAGTTTGGCTGAATCCCATGTCTTGTTGCTAACCAGCTGAAAGACTCGCCTTTGTTCTTGCCGGCTCTTTACTTTTCACCACGTGAATGATCGTGAACATATCATTTAACCTCTTGGAGTTCCCAAATTCGTGGGGATGTCAACGAGGTTAAAAGAAGAACGTCTGTGCAAACACTGGTACGTGGTGGTGGCTCTTTAAATGTTAATGCTCATTAGTGCTGCAGTTTGTATTATATTTTATTCTTATACGTAAATCAATCAACTAATATATCCTCCTGGAGTTATTGAGGCAATTGAATGAGATAACCTACGCATTGCAGCTACTCTAGGACCAGACATATTATAGAAGTTCAGAAAGTGTTATTTCCATTTCCTTTCCCTTATCTTCTGGAATCTTCCTAAAGGTAGAAAGATATGTCAATGATCGATAGATGAAAAGAAGCATCTGGTCCCAAACACTGCTACCAGCCCCTGTAGGTCATTCCAGAAAGGCACTGGTTGCTGTAGCAACCGTAAGACAGTCCTCAAATTCTCCAAGGGGCCCCAGCAGCACCCTGATATTCCTGACATTTTCTGAGAGTCCCAGTTTCCTTCATGTCCAAGAATATTATCCAAATTTCCCTTCTGAGAATAAACCAAAGGAAAGCAAACCAAAAATTGAAAGGAAACAGAATTTGTTCCAGAGCCTGATAACTCAGCCTTCCTTGGATGAAGTGTGCTGAGATTATGTATTCATTCAATAGATCTTACCGTGACAAAGACTAGGGCCTATCCACCAAAGATTCATGTGTCTGTGCCATGAAACAGGTGGTGCTGGATCATAGCTGCTCAGCCAGGAACTACAATTCCTGTTGCGTTCTGGCCACAGTGGGAGCAATTTATATCCCTTCCTGGCTTGACCCCACCCAGCCCCCTCCTGGATGGTCCTCTATTCTCCCATTCTCGCCTCTGCCTGCCAGGTGGCTGTTGACAATTAGTGCCATCTTAAAAGCTAAACTTCTAAGATGTCACATTCTCCACCGACCGGGGTTCCTAAACAAATCTGTGAAACAAGCCACCATTGCTACCGTCACCAATCAGAGTTTATGTGAGCAAGACGTCAATTTCTATTGACAAGGCTATTGAAATTGTGTGGCTTATCTGTTATGGCAGCTGATTTTTACTTTCGTAAACATAGGGATTGACTATATGTAATGTACCAAGGATTTATGAGACATTAGTTATAAAACGATGGGCAAAATAAGTCCGGTCCGTGTCCTCACGAGGACCAAACGGGAGGAGAGGCAGATAAAGAGCACTTCCAACATCACTGCCTGTAGCGCAGTGTCTAAAGGGGTGTGAGAATCATAGGTGACATTGAGCTGGGAGCAAGTGGTGCTTCAATTCAGGAAAGCAGCAGTGTCAGAATTCTAGAAGAATATATTCAGGGCAAGTCTCAGAGCAGCAATTTTTATGATGTATGTGTGGAATATTTATCACCTGGTCCCAAATAGGCCTGTACCCAACCCGTGCCCTCAGGCTGTTCCTGTCACTGTCCAGCCTCAGGAGTCATCACCTACCCAGAGCTGGGAAAGAGTGCTTTCCTTTGGCAGGATTCAGGAGCGGGCCCGTGGCCAAAGCTGGTCCTACGAATGACATCCCTTGGAATGTACTGAAAATGTTGAGAAAGGGGCGCTTGCTTTCCTTTCTAGCTGTTCAATTGTAAGATGCGGACTGAGATCAGCCTTGGGCTGTCTTTCTGCCACATTAGGCCAGCCTGACAAGAACAAAGCCAGTGCAGATCACGGCTGGGAAATAGAGAGACGGCCACTCCGTAAGGGACGTTTCAGATATATAAGCCAATGTGTTTCCTTAACACAGCTGGAGCTATTTCTGCCACATGCAACCCAGAGAATCCTGGTGGATATAATCTTACCTAACTATTATGTTTATTCACAAACTACACTACAATTCCTTTCCTTGCAATATGTCAGAGTTACAACATACTGAAGTGGAAAGAACAAAGGTTGTTATTTTGTCATTGCATAGCTGTATGGCCATGGACACGTCACCTAATGTTGCTAACCCCAGTGTCCCAATATCAAATGCGTGGATAAAAATGCAGCGATACGTAGGATTGCTAGGATGAAGAAATGAGAGTGCTACGTTCAAATTCTGACATGTGGTGGAATGAGTTAGCACTGTAATGTGTTGTAGATGCCCCTTGCATCTTACTTAGAAATAATGGCTAAAGTAAACACTTTCCAAAGTTAAATATACAAGTGAACACAAAATCCAAAAGGGAAAGAACACCCAGGTGCCAGAATCCCGTGCTGTAAGCTCACGAGCTGACCTGGAAACCTCTGGGCCTAGAGGTATGCGTGAGGTGGAAGTCCTGGGGGCTGGGTGCAGGCATGGTGGCCCCATAGAAGGATAGAAGATTTGTCACTTGATCAGAGCATCCGGTGACTTTGAAATGATTTCCCTATGTAAATCTAAGTCCTGGGAAACCAAATACCTAAGTGAAGGAGGGACAAGGAAAACACCACCATCAAGCAAAAGAGGCACTGAAGTTTGTCTGTAGCCTGACCTCTGGTTGGGGGGAAAATATAGGGCAGGTCACTCATGATAAACCGTTGAACACCCTAACCTATATATCATGCAGGTTTCACTCCACCTGAATTGCTCAGTAACCCCAAATCAGTATATTAATACATTAACTTACCTCAAACTTGGGAGACCCCCGAGACATCCAGGAGAAAAAAACACAAATTTTTTTCTGAGACAACATTTCCAAAATCTAAGGTTCTCCCATCAATACCCACAATAAAAATATCTGTTATGACAATATTATCTCTGACATCAATATTTGGACACCAGCTTTCTTTTAATGTAGGCAAGACAGCAACTAATTAAATGAATGCAGAAAGCATTAATATGGATAAGGTGACCTTTATAAATGAATAATTCACCAGAAAGATATTGTAATCCTGGACTTACGTGTACTTCAAAGTAAAAGCAAAAATGACATTCGATTAACTAATGAATACTCAATGAAAGACTTTAACACATCTTTATAAGAATCATAAATCAAGCAAACAAAAATACTAAGGCTATAGAAAAGTGATTGACAAATGTTTTCTATAAAAACATTTTTGTAAATATTTTAGTATTTGTGAGCCACATACAGTCTCTATAATTCATGCTTACCTCCTTTCTCCTCTCTCTCTCTCTCTCTCTCTCTCTCTCTCTCCCCCTCACCCTCCCCCCTTGTCCTCCCTCCCTTCCTTTGAATGTATAATCCCTTAAAGATGTAGAAACCATTCTTAACTCAGAGACCACACAGCCCAAGCCATGGGCTGGATTTGGCCAGTGGGCCACAGTTTTTCAGCCCCTGATCTGGATGATAAGAACACATGTAACAAGCTTAATCTAATGGAAATTTATTAAATTCTGCACCAACAAGTATGTACATTCTTTTTGAGCAAATATGAAAAGCTTATAACTGTCGATCACATCACATAACAATCCATAAAACAAGCCTCAATCAATATAAATAGGAACCAATATCATAAAAACTACAACTCACACCACAGTGCAATAGCATGAGAAATTAATGTAAAAGAAAACTCAAATAAGCAAATGTTTAGAAATTTTAAAGTGAAACTCCTAATTCGTCATGGGTTAAATAGAATCCATAATAGCAATTCACGATGTTTCGAATTGAGAGAACATGAAAACACTACTTTAAAAATGAGAATGTACAGCTTTAAATGCATAAACGGGAATGGAAGTAAAATCAAAATAAAGTAATTAATTAATTACATGAATAATGTCTTATTAAGAATGTTAAGAGTTTCCCTTTAAATCAAGAACCAGCCAACAGTGCCCACCCTCATAGCTCTTACGGAGCAGAGCACTAGAGATTCCTGTATACACAGTGAGGCTGGGGAAAAAAAGAAGAAATAGTATGAAGACTGACAAAGAAGATATCCAATTAGCACTGTGAGAAACTGACAAACAATGTGACAGTACATAGAAAAATAATAATCTACCAACTGTTAGCAGTAAAAAGGTGGCTAGACACAGGATCACAATAAAATAGCAATAATGTTCTAAACACCAGGAACAATCAATTAAAACACTTAATCAGTTAAAATAAATTGTGACTCTAGTCAGAAAAAAAGATCTAAATTATTGAAACATATTTTTTGCTTTGAAAGAAGACATTCAATATTTTCAAGGTGTTGAGACTACCACAAATCAGTGTTAAATCAAAACCAATGTGGCTTTTATGTAACATAACAAGCTGATACTTAGATTTCTGTAAAAAGATGCAAATCCAAGAATAACCACATCAAACTGTAAGATGAAGGAGGAAGGAAGGAAGTAGTATCGAAATTAAAAAAACAATATGACATTGGAGTAGAGATAGAAAAAATAACTCAAAGAAACATAGTAAAGAACCCAGAGAAAAATGTGTGTGTATGTGCGTGATATATATATACATATATATATATATATACACATATATATTTATATATATGTGTATATATATGTATATATATATATGATATATATGGTTTATGTAAAAAAGGTGACATTAAAATGGTGCAGGAAAAATTGGTTGTCTATATATGAAAAATATAGACTAGATTATTATCTGACATTAAACTCACACACATATCACACATAGATAGATATAATATGGATATAGCTATACATACATATACATGTATCAAATAGACAAAGACTAAAATAGAATAAGCATTTTAAACAATTTAAAAAATGCCTTTTAGTTATCACTATTTGGTATAATTTGTGAAATAAAAACAAAAAAATAAAATTTAAAGAATCATTTTGATAAAGTTGAATACATTAAAATTAAACAATTTTATGTAACAAAAATTTGATTTAAATAAGCAAAATTAAAAGATAACCCATAGTCTGAGAGTGCGTATTATATACTATTATGTATATTATGTATATGTCAGATTAGTATTGAATACATGGAGAAATCCTACAAATCAATACTAGCAAAAGTAAACAGCACAGTAGGACATAGGAAATGAATGAACAAGCATTTTACAAATGAAAAAAACTAGAGTACTCAATAAAAATGAGAAGATTCTTAATTTCACTAATAGAATGTAATTTAAAACAGCTTGGATGTATCACTTCTCAACTAATGGTAAAAAAAAAATTTAATTAATAATCTCAACTATGGACACTGATGTAGGAAAACAGAAGCTATGATGTTCTCCAAATGAGAGTGTAAATTGGTGGAACAACTTCAGATGTTTTAGCAATATTGCATCCTGTTTAATCCAGCAATTTCCTTTTTAGAAAAATAAGCTGGAAATACAACTGTTGCACAGGTATACAAAAAGACATAGAAGATAACTTGGCTATTTCCGATGGTCTTCTGGGAGAGTTTGGGCTGAACAGCTGACCTAGGAGGAAAGCCTACGCTTGACTGACAGATGGCCTGGGTCACCGCACAAGTGTACACTGATGGTGGGAAGCCGTGTCACACACAACAGCCTCACTCAGAGATGGCCTTGCAGACAAAAATGGAGAGGGAAAATCCTCCCAATGGGCAGAGCTCCCAGCAGTGCACACAGCCACCCCATTTCTGTGGAAGAGAAATACCCCAAAATTAGAATAAAGAAGGAGGCATGGGCTGCAGTGAAGGGTCTGGCAGGCCATTCAAGGGCTTCAACAGAGAAGACTGGACTACGGATAAGGAAACGGATGCGAGTGGTAATGAAGTGTGAAGTTCTTCATATCCCATGCTGATGTTCATCAGAGAGCATTTGTCATGGTAGAAGTACCAGCCAATTAAACAAGAGGGCCAGCTGATGTCAGCCAGCCTCTGTCACTGGCTACTCCAGTGATGCCACAATAGGCACATGGATAGTGTCTGCAGTGGTGACATGGACACTCTGCAGGAGCCCATAGCAGGGACTCACTCATCAAGTTTACCTGCTCCGGCTACCAGATGTCAGACCTACCAGCCACAGAAACCATGCTGAACTCTCAGTGGGACAGTTTCATGAAGAGACCCTGGTACCACTTGGTGACCATTGGCCACACTGAGTCTCTTCTATCAAAGGGCCAGTCGTTTATTTTGCAGAAATAGACACAGAATCCACATACGGCTTTGCCTCCCCTCATGGCAGGGCCTCAGGCAGCCCCACTACCCAAGGCATTATGGAGCATGTGACCCACAGTTAAAAGGTTCTGCGACTCTCACACAGAACCCACTTTACATGCACGGAGTGGAGATGAGTGGGTCCCTGTCTGCTCACCCCGTATCACATCACCTAGAAGCATCTGGCTTGACCGAATGCTGGGCTGGCCTGCTGACGCACCACTGCAAACAAGTCTAGAGACAGTATCTTGAGACCACTGGGTGCCATCCTCCAGGACCCAGTCTCTGCTTTGAATCAACACTCTTTACAGGGCACTGTGTTCCCAGGAGGAAGTTAGGGGGGGTGACACAGCACTCAGTGACCCACAGTGACGATGTGCGCTCCCCGTCCCTGCAACTGTGGGCGCTCAGGTTAGATGGGCTGGTCTCCAAATCCAGAGAGTGCCAAAAAAAAAATGCCTATACATTTTAAGAAAGGAAAACTGTATTAAAATTGTAATACACAATATATACGGATAACAAAAGATAAATACAAGTCATAGTTGACTTCTGCAATTACAAGAGGTGCTCATAATGGTTCCCATCAGTCTAGACACTTCTGATTGCAGTTAATTACTGCTTGAGTAATGCTGACCGAAGTGTCCACTTGTATATACATGTTTCTGGCACCCCCGGTATATGTGGAGAAGTTCCTCTAGCAGACAAGGAGTGGGTCGTGTTTGACATGCAGATGAACTGTCCTCGTCCTTTTTCTAATTAGGGACTTCCCATCTACAGGAAGCGTAGCTCAGAGACAGCCACTGATAACTTCCTAGTATTTAACCAGGTGTCTCTTCTTTTGTCTCTTCTATATATGTGTTTCTCATATGTAATCTATACAAGTTATACATGATACGAACAATTTACAAAATGATGTAAACATTTCTCACTATGATTAAATATTCTACCACATGACATTTGTGGCTGCATCAAATCCTCGACACTAAATACCGTAGCATATTCCTCTGATTTTGACATTTATTTTAACTGCACCTCCCTTCTCTGTGGATCCAGTCAAGAAGTTTCCCTACAGAGAACGGCAAGCAGGAATTCCCAGGATGCGCTGTGAGAGGACTCATACCCACTAAAAACCTTACCGCAATCCAAGTTGCAGAGTCTTGTTAGAACTTTAGGGATCACGCACTGAAGACAGAGTAAACATATTATACTGTTTATAAATCTTACTCAGAACTTTCCTGACTTATGGATTTAAAGGCCACCTGCTATTCTTGAATCTGCCTCCCTTAGCCCCAAGAGAGAGTCCAACCCCCGATAAAATGAGCGAGAGCAGATGGGACCTTTCCAAAGCCAATCTCTGGTGGCCCATTTCCCATCTTAATTATTGGGTATGGAAGCAACTGCACAGTAGGAGGAATAAAATAAAACTTATGTAATCCTGCTTCTAATTTATGCTTGCAGTAAATTATGATTGTGCCTAATCGCCTATGCCAACCACCAAGTTGCAAGAAGGGGAGAATGACAATGCATTTTAAAAACTAGATTTGACTAAGATTGTCAATGCATTAAGCAGATTAACCGAAAAGGTACAGAATGGCAGTTTGCACATTATCAAGGAACAATTATCAGGACTTTCAAATGTATCTATAGCCCGTGACCTTTTATATTTGTGTTTCTCTTGTTTTTATTTGCTTCTCTGACCCCAAACACATAAGTGACGTACCTGCATCAGTGACCCTGATTGTGACGCTAACAAAAGCAGCAGATTCTCTGGGAGATTTCACAGAACATGGCCATTCTCCATCCTCCAGGCTACGCCTCTTCCATTGAGGCCATCGGGGTGAGTGGTGGAAAGCACCCTGTCTGCAGAGCTGACTCGCTGGGTCATCTGAAATGTAGACATGTGCGTCCTTCAGGGAGAACCTCTGAAGGTGAATGACAAGTATATGCACCACCAGGAAATGGAGAAGGTGGGGCTCACTGACAAACTTCATGGCAATGTGCTCAATAGCCCGTGGTCCCAAGGACAGTGCAAATCTCGAATACACGCCTTAGTGGCTGTATTGGTTGGGACAAATTACTTATGCTTTTTAATCATT